CAAGGTAATATAATTAATAACTTGCATAACACAGGAAAAGGAGGCTGTTATGATGAGTCTGCATAAGATGAAAAAGCGTGAGACCGTGTTAAAAGAGTTCAAATACCTAAACGAGAAATAAATAACTACTCTCTGACGGTTATCAAAAGGTTACCAGGGACAGATTTTAGCGTATTCTCCAACGGTCCAGACTTTGGGTTTAGAAGGAACTCAACGATATCTGTCCAAGCTGAATCTGTATATCTTCCGGCGAAGAAGAACTGATTTGATTCCGTGTGTGATTCATCGGAGAGGATCGTCACGAAGTCGACTAGCGTCATGCGTATGAATAACAACAAAAAGCACTGGAGAGAGGCTCCGGATCTGCGAAAAAATCATTGTTAACTCTGAATAACAACAATCTGAGTGGGGCTTTACTTGGGGCACAAGGATTTGGTGGTGATGATTGGTGGCCTGAGAAGCTGGGGCAACAATATTCAGACACTAAACCCACTTCTCCAGTTTGGTCGGTATGTGTCGTGGAATCACTTTGTTGGGTCTGGTGATTGTTTTGAGAGAAACAGTTCAATTAAAGTTGCTTAGTTTTTGGTATAAATATATTATATTTTAGCAAACAAAGTGATCAATACACTTAACGTTAGCCGGTTTCGTTGCTATGTGATAGATAGCTCTTTATAAGTTTCTTAAAGTTCACATAATAAGAGATTCTCTTTTTGTACAGCTAAATGAAAAAAAATAAGATACCCTAAAACTCTTATATAATTTTTTATTGTTTATGGGAAATATTAATTTTGTCCCTTTTTGTTTATATGGAGCTAAATCAAAAATATATTTAATATTCGGTTAGTTCTGATTATCTTTATTGAATAAAAATTGTGTGATTACACTGTTTTCCATATTTTTCTAATATGATTTTTAGGGTTTGTGTCTTTGTGATAATCTCTATCGTTAGGTTTTAAATCCAAAAATTCATTCATTGTTGTCTGTGGTGCCTTTTAGTATTTTTTTATATTTAAAGTTTATATTTTTAGTTAGCTATACTTTTAACAAAAATTCATTCATTGTTGTCTGTGGTGTCTTTTTTTTGTTCTTTAAATGTCTTTTAGAAATTGCCTATGTTTTGTCAAACAATTTGTTAAGACAATAAAGAGTTCACTGCTAATAAGATATGTGATGATGAGTCTGAATCTTGACATTTTTGTTTTGTTTTGTTTTTTTTGTTAATTACAGTGTGGTATATAATGGTTTCTACATCTACTAAACCCTAAACTTATTTCCACAGAAATAATTTCGGTCTGGAATGTTTGTCCAGATTGGTTTCTCTATTATTTTAAACCATATATGTGTGCCTCCAGGTCTTTTCGTTGTATCATCTTTTCATAGTTATGGTTCTGGTTTTAATTGACAGATTATTTTAACCATTTATGACTCTTACTTGGAGTGAAAACCTCGGTTCCGATTCACCTAATGATCGGTGGAGATTGATTAGAGATGAAAACATCAAAAAGTATCATTACGTCTAATTAAATCAAGAGAATCGGTTGCTTTACTTGAAAACGATTGTAATTTTTTTCATCTTGAGATACCAATATACATATACTCGGTTTACAAAATTTTGTTTTCAAATCCTATAATTGTTACCGAGATGCCAAACGACATGTTCAAAAGGCCCAAGGCTTCAAGCTAATTAAATATTCTAGTGGTGGTTATCATCATTGGATACATGAAGCGGTAAAAAAGACGGTAGTGAGCTCTTCAAGCCCTCCTTCTCTAGACGCAGCATCAAAGAGTCAGATTTTCGTTTATATGAGAGTAAAGCTACTTTGAATGTTGTTAATTGATATCTACAGACACTTATTTGGTTACAAGTGTGAATGGTTTATTGATAAGACTATTTTATTAGGTAGTCGTAAGTACTATCTTTTAAATGTCCAAATGGAGTAATGACAAAGAAGAAAAATACAAAGCAGATAAATCTAGAGCCAGTAAGAGTTCCTAAGCCAGTTTCGAAATGGGACGCTTAGTTTATAGATGACGAAAGAGAATACCAAGTACCACTACGATCGGGTGGAAGATAAACCCTAAAAGACGATGGTGTAGGAGCATGAGGCAGAGCAATTAGGGAAATAAGTTCAGAATATCAGATTGACTGTCAGATTTACGACGAGGTATATCGAGGGCTTATGTAAATGATAGTATTATGTTTAACTAGGTTTTCAATTATTAGAGAAATGATAAGGAGTAGAGACTTGCAAATCAATTAGAGAAGTTGCAGAATAGTTAACTTAGTAGATACCCACTGGAGATATAATATATTTTAAAAATCATTAAAGAGTCAAGGTCATGTTGAGAAGTTTTATGGAGTACCTGACGTAATTTCAAAAAATCTATCACGTTATAGACCAAATGTAGGATTACTTACGTTTGATGGATCGATTTTCAGATTGAAGCTTGGAATCTGTGTATATGGTTCCACTAAGAAAGTGGGAGTTCATAAGCATCAATAAGGACAAGTAGATTCATGACGAATCAATAGTTTAGATATAATTTATTTATTGTTTATATAGATGGAGAAGTTGAAGAATTAATGGGTACAATGTATGGAATAATAAATTCATATCTAGGTGATTACCTCTTTACACACGGCGATATACATATGGTTCTGTTCAATCTACATTATTTACCGTTTTGTTGACAATTAGGTTAATTTACTGCTTTGGTGTAAAGATTGTACATACAGTTTAGTTCTATATGTCTTTGAAGATATCAAATTTGAGAAGTTAAGTTTAAGAAATCATTTAATCAGCTGTTCAGGTCTTATATATGTTGTTTTAAATTTATCTTTTTCTAAACTCATAATATAAGATGAAGCATTGATGATAAACAAAGATTGTTTCATAACTATTGATAGGACATCATGTGATATTTTCAAATGGGATAAGCCATTGGGTGGCAAGGTTACTGTCTATGGTGGATATTTTAAACAAATTTTGCTTATTATCCCTAATATTGAAATAGTAGAAATTGTCCTTACTACTTTAATTTCGTCAACTCTCTCGAATGACTACAACGTGTTAAAACTTACTAAGAATATGTGACTTATATCAGGAGATAATAATGAGAAGATGTTTGTCTTCGCAAAATTTTCACGATGGATATTGGATATTGGTGACAGAAAGATAATTGGAAATAATATTAGAGAATAAGAGATTAAAATTCCAAAAGATTTATTAATCATGGATTGTGAAAATCTTATTCAAGCAGTCATACTGAAATTTATGGAAGGTCATTTGTTGGGTAGATAAATCCCAGGAAAAGGCTATAGTTCAAAGAATGATGATGTTGAAATAATAAATAACTAAATGTTATCTTAGTCACCATGTTACGTTTAGTATATATGATTTTTTAATTATGTTTACCACATACTGATAATTTTAAAAAAATTAATATGTGTATTAACAACTATATTGAAACTATCAGATGTGGAAATGGTTTTTTAAAGTAATGATAGTATTTAAGTTATGATAGTATTGACACAACCGATCGAGAGCTCGATATCAGGCCCGGCCTAAGGGGTGGGCAGAGGTGTGTCCGTCCAGGAGCCCAGACCAAATTTCAGACAATACTGTACATTTAAGAGCTAATTTTCGAAAATATTGATCTAATAAAATATTTTTTTATTTAAATTATTTTTTTATTGACAAAATCATTAGAAAATGGCCTAAAAAATTTAGATTTTTGATATTAAAGGATCCAAAATTTCGATTTTTGATATTGAAAGGCCCAAAATTTCGACTTTTGATATTAAAGGGCCCAAAAAAATGTTTTGTCCAAGGGCTTTAAAATTCATTGAGCCGGAGCTGCTCGATACTAAAAATGCATCTGAACTTTCATCTCTAAATTCAGAATCGTCTTAATATGATTTATATTGATAAATTCTGTCCAAATGTATGGATTGCCAAACCATGAGTTTGAAATATCCATACTGTTGAAAAAGAACAAGGAGTTACAACATAAGCCAATGATATCACATAACTCTACACAAAACGAGAGCAAGCAAACTCATCGCGGAAATCATCGTCTCCATCTACTTCTTCAAACTTCATTAGAGATCTAAGTATTTTATAGGGAGATGATCATCTAGATTATGAGCATGATAGCATAGAAGGCATAGCATATAGTTTCACCACACGATCTGCAGCTTCAGTCAAGTGTGCTAATATACTTTTTTATAGTTTGGTTTCCTCATGTGGATGTATGAGTTATTATCCGTAATTTTACTTTTGGATTATATAATGTCTGATTATACAGCAGTATTCTTCTCATAAAATTGTGTTATTTTAGCCAACATTTTTATCTTGATTTCAGTCAGAATCTGATTATAAAACCGTATTTGTCCATTTTCAAACATACTAATATTGTCGATTTTTATTAAACTGAACTAAGGTGCATCGCAATCACCTAGTATTCTTAAAAACTTTTTTTTTTCTTTTACAACGACCATATTCTTATAGTCAACTACATATCATGCAAATATAAGTATAAAGGAAAAGAGACGTGTATTGCAACTATTGGCGTATTATTTCAGTACATAGTCAATGCCAAAAATGTTAAGTTTCATTCAAAGATAAAGCTATGGAAAAGTCTTAGTTTTAGAATTTAAAAGGTAATCAAAATTTCTTATTGAGGATTTGATATAAATTTTCTCCAAAACTACTTACTATTCTTGAAAACTTACATTTTCTATATTATTAAAATTTATATAAGAAAAGAAATACAGTCAAAAGTCATATATATATATAAAAGGGAAAAAAGTAATAGAAATTTATTGGTTTAAGTCAACTTTTATAAAAAATGGGAAAGTTGGCCTCGACAACTAATCAAATTGTATTCTTCTGTTGTTACTCTATTTCCTTTTACTGTATTTTCTCATAAATCTTTTATATTCTATTTTTGTTACACAATATGTATAGCCATTAATACAAACAGCCAATTTTTCAATGAGTTTGACACATGTTAAACCTTTTATGCTAACAATTGTTTCATTTATTTTTCAATTTGTGATATAAAATGCACCCAAGTTTGTGTAATAAGATATAGACATCTTTCACCATACATACAATCTCTCTCACTTTCAATCAATCTCTACAAAAGTAATTCTACTGTTGTTAGAACATATGAATGATGAAGATGGAGTTAAGACTCGTTCTTTGCAGCGAGGATTTTCTGAAATCGAAAATAGCTCTCTTCTCGACAAATTTCATCCGGCGAGTACTAGTATTCTTGTTGTCGACACCAATTTCATCACTTTACAGAATATGAAGAACATCATGGAACAATACGCCTTTAAAGGTAACTCTTTCTCTCTCTCTCTCACTGTAATTTTAGGGATTTCAAGAATTGTTAGGGTTAGGGTTAGGGTTTATGATTAGTGATACTGTTTTGTGTTTTTTCTTTGTTATCCAGTGACGATTTATGCGAATGCGGAAGAAGCTCTCGCATTTCTGACAAATTGTAAACATGAGATTAATATCGTGATTTGGGAATTTCATATGCCTGGAATTAATGGACTTGAAGCTTTGAAAATCATTGGTTCAAAGATGGATCTGCCTGTCGTAAGTATGTACAATCGCATAATAATATTTAATATTTATTAAACCAGATTTATTTTAATTAAATATAATAACCTATTTATTTCATTTTTATATAGTTACGTCTGATGATGATCAAATCAATTCGGTGATGCAAGCAACGATACACGGTGCATGCGACTATCTTATAAAACCGGTGAGAGAAGAGGTCTTGGGTAACATATGGCAACACATTGTTCGGAAGAGGATGATGGCTACACCCGGTTTAAGTCCACCAGTTAAATTAGATCTGAATAAAGATGAGTCGAAGATCGTAGACCAAGATAACAGTGAACAAAGCGTCGATGAGACTGAAGAGAAAGCAGAAAAGAAACCGCAGGTAGAATCAATTGGAGAAATTCAATCAGATCTGGTTAAGAGAGATGGTTTAGACCAAGAGAAGGACGGTTCCATGACCACAAACCAAATTAACCGTGAACCAAAACTCAAGAAGAAAATTGAGAAGAAACCGCGGATGACGTGGGCTGGAGATCTTCAGGAAAAATTTCTCAAAGCCATCAATTTAGTTGGGGGTCCTAAAAGTAATTAATCTAACTAGTCTTAAATCTTAATCCCTCTAGTCTTTCAATATCTTAATTATTATTACTGCTCTCTAATCATGTTTTCAATCTAAACGCAGAAGCAAATCCAATGTCAATTCTCAAATGTTTGCAAGAAATGGATGTCGAAGGACTCACTAGAAACAACGTGGCTAGTCATCTTCAGGTAAAAAAACAAAAACAAAACTATTATTGTTTCTTGTGTGGCAAAAAAAAAACCGATTAGATTATAGGACTTGCACATTTTAATAACACAAAATACGGCCACATTAATTTTGTGTTGTATACTTGCGCAGAAATATCGTATCAGTTTTGCGGAAAACCATGGTTCTCAACAGATGCTAGAGAATGATTGGTCTCTTGCACGTAGACCTATGCGTCTCCTCGCTCCGAAGAAGGTTCACACCACAACATTACCCATTGTCAATGGTCACACCACAACATTGCCCCTTATCAATGGTCACACTACAACAATGCCGCATGGTCACACCACAACACTGCCCCTTGTCAATGGTCACACTGCAACATTGCCCGTTGTCAATGGTCACACCACAACATTGCCCCTTATCAATGGTCGAGGCGTTAACCCGGTCCAGGAGAGTCATGGATATGGAAATGGTTACTTGACAATGAACAATAACCAGTTCATGAGCAATAACCAGTTCATGAACAACAACCAGTTGATGAACAATTCTCTGCCTCATTTGCCCCGTTTTGACCATCTCCAGCAGCAGCATCTACAACAACAACAACAACAACAACCATATCATGAGCCCTCTCACCAATTGATGAGCAAGAAAGAAGACCATCTCCAGCAGCAGCACCTACAACAACAACAGTATTATGAGCCCTCTCAGCAATTCATGAGCAAGAAAGGAAATCATCTCCAGCAGCAGCACCTACAACAACAACAATATCATGCGCCCTCTCAGCAATTCATGAGCAAGAAAGGAAATCATCTCCAGCAGCAGCACCTACAACAACAACAATATCATGAGCCCTCTCAGCAATTGATGAGCAAGAAAGAGAACCATCTCCAGCAGCAGCACCTACAACAACAACAATATCATGAGTCCTCTCATCAATTTATGAGCAAGAGAGAAGACCATCTCCAGCAGCAGCACCTACAACAACAACAATATCATGAGCCCTCTCATCAATTGATGAACAAGAAAGAACCTGAACAAGATTCTGGCTTACCACCAGATTTGGGGCTCATTTATCCAAGTTCACCATTTGATCCGGAAGGTATTATGATTGATGGCTACAATTTCACTTTGTGATCTGGGCTTCTCTTTATTCTCTTTATGTAGGAAATTATTTGAAAATTCAAGGTTATGAGAGAATTGAAATGGAGAAAAAAGTAAGGGGAAAACGAGGATGTATCAATACATCAATATATATCATAGACAAAGTATCAAAGTTTTATTCAAATTTTATATGGATAGTTATGTTTTTTATATAAAAAAGGAAATTTGATTCTAATTTACCATGAGATACTTGTATATAAGCATGAATGTGTCACATATCTTAGCTGTTTTATATTGTATTCTTAGCCGGGAACAGCCTTTTAAGTCACACAAGCCAGTAGAGAAAAAGGTTTAATTAACAGCTCAGAACCTCAAACAGATACGCTTGAGCTAACGGTAATAATGAGCATAGATAAAGCACAAATGTTTCTAGTACCAGAAGAAAGAGAAAGTGATTGGTATTATTAATCTTGAGAGAATAGTCAAGTGTAAAGTATATGGCCAGTCCTGAAATCAATAATACTTTTGTTCCTATTCGAGAAAAGAAAACAATTAAGGCTCTAGTTTTTATTTTTTAATGTATGAACTTATATCTTACTAGAACAAAAAACATAAAGCTAGCTAAAGAAAGTACTCAGATTTCTAACAGAAATACAATGTTTATTATGCTCTTTTTTCTGAAATCTTTCTCACCACATCTTTAATATATAATCATTATCATGATGTCCTTTTAACAAAGTGCCGAAAAGAAAAGTGGACATTATATAAGAAAAATGTTTTATATGACAGTGTACATGACCGGTCTGCAAAAGCTCAAGAAAAGCCTAATGGAATTCTTGAATCAAATCCCCACAATATTATATTATAAAGTTCTTTCAATCGTGTGACTGTGTCTGAACTCTGAACTCTGAACCAAGGCCATACTTAGCATTGTAGAAAAAAATGCAACAGCCTTAGGCCCCACTTATACAAAATACATAGGTTTGGAGTGTTATGAGTGTTTGGATTTCTCTTTGTGAAGTTTGATTTGTTCATATAGATTTTTTTTTTCATATTTCTTGGTTTGTGGCTATTTTGTTTCTGGGACTTTTTTTATTTATTATGAACATATTTTTTTTTTTTTTACAGTTTGATTGTTCATAAAAATTTGTGTAAAGAAACCCCGTTTCTACAACTTGAATTAGACTCCCGAAAGTGTAGGCATGGTCTATAAGTTGTTCTTATTTTGGAAACAAAAACATAGAGATAAAACTCACAAATAGGTAAAGTTGTGGATTTATGGAAGAAGAAGAGACCTGAGACCTCAAGATATCTTATACACTGATCGATCTAGAAATGTTTGGTGCCAAAAGGAACCACTCTCTACGTAAAGACCTTTTGCCGTTGTTCATCTAAAAACTAAAAGAAGTTTTAAGAAACGGGGAGATCTAAAAAAGAGAAATCAAAGAAACTTCTTTGGATAAACATTGAAAATCAGGAAAACGAAAAAAAATCAAGTTTTGTGGAAAAAAACAAGGAAAACAAGATCAACGATTATTCTAAGTGCGTGGTCATGTTCTTTTGAAAATATTTTTCAACAAGTTGATGCTACTTAAATGTAAGTGTGTCAAATATAGCTAGTTCTAAAAGAAACATGTGGTTATGTGAGATGCAAACTCTTTATGACGACTCTCTACTACTGCGGAGGTAATAACTCCGACGATTTAGTTTGTCACGGCGCATCAATTTAGAAGTTAAAATATTTCTTATGGCTTTACTACATTATCACAAATTAAAATAATTGAAAGTGCAAATAAAAAAAGTGCAAAGGAGGGTAAAAAGAAGAAGGATCCCACATTTGTTCTCTTTTGGTGGGCTAATCCTTGTCCACAAAACTCAAAAACACTATCACCAAGTCTCTTAATCAATAATCATTAAATCTATAAAATCATTTTTAATTGAAAAAGAGTATGCATACTTGCTTATAGTAATCAAAATTTGGTGTGTTACAAATACAAAACTTGGCTAAAAGTGAAGAGGCATAATTCCGACCTCCACTATGATTTTATGCTAGTGTATATTATTCTCATGGTAAAATTTTATTCGCACCGTTCGAAAATATATACATTTAAATATATTGTTGTAAATAGGAAAAAAAAATATGGAATGTTACATTTGTTTTTCAAAATTTTCAAACGTGTTTACATTATTTATCAATATACTCAAATTATTTACTGTTAGAACTTGAATATTACTTATTCACATGTAAAATATCAAATAGTGGGTTTAAGTCTTTATTAATTTATATTAAGATCAAAGATTACAAAAGAGTATAGGTTGTCAGAATAAAAACGATGATCGAAACCAAGGACACGAGATAAAGCAAGAAAGCTGAATGCTATTCTTTAGGTCTCGAGAGTTGAATTATCTATTCGAGTGGGGTTGATTGGTTCGACCTCCATTTCATTTTTAGAAAAGTAATTTTTTTTCTTCAAAGATTTCTTTTTACAATATTTTTTGGAAATTTTAACATATCTCCAAGAATTTATTTTTCTATGGTGCTAACCTAGATTACATGGAAACGGAAACAAAACGTTTTGAAATATAGAAATGTCATTTTAAAAAGATATAGAAATGAAAACATTTTGAAAATTAGATTAATATTGAAAGTCAAAAATTTAGAATTGTTCCTTCAACGTCAATTTTATTAGCTCCATTAACCATCATATCTTAATTGATTGAGAGAAAAGATTTTTAAACTTGATAATACAAATATTAATATCATCTAATGAATTAAAATAATTATTAATTTAATATAATAAATTAAATTAATTATTAACTTCTATAAAAATGATTTTTGATTATTTTTAATTGTTATTATAAAAAAATAAAAGTAAGTTTACATAGGAATTCCAGAATGAAATATATTTTCAAAATAGAAATATGTTTTCCATCATGTTTTCAAATTGTAACTTTTAGGAAATATTATTTTCGTGTTTACATCGAATTTTCCAGAATTTTCATTTCTGAAATTTTTTTGAAATACAAAATGCACTTAAGACAAAATTTCCATGCAACCTAAGTGATAACCTAACTAAATAACTAATAATGGAGTTAATGGGTATTTATCTTGAAATTTAACGAGTTGATAAGAATTTATGAAGGGCTTGAAGAGATTATGGTAAACCTATCTCAAACACTTACTTAGAACTGTACAACAATCCTAAGAAACACAGAAATATTTATCATCATTTGTTCCATTATTCAGATAGTTTAGAAATAGTTCATTTTAACTTGACAAATCTAAATATTGACATTTAGTCAAATTTAGTTCATTTTAGCTCTAAGTTGGATTGGAACTTTTAAATCGTAATATGACAGAAAACAAAGTTCATATTGTATAAAACGATCATAAATAAATAAATAAAACGCATGAAAAGGTAAGAAACATGGGACTTAATTAATTTGGTACTAAGGTTGGGAGAATTTAGGAAAAGAAAGCGACAAAATTCAAATCCAAATGAATAATGTTCCTCTCTTTTTGAAAGGTGAACAAATAAACAAACGCCGGCCAAGAAAAAGAAGCAAGTAAACAAACAACAGAACCATTTATATGCAGACATTTAGATACCAAAACAGATTTTACAAATATTACCCGTAAAGAAAAAATAGTTTACACTGAAAAAGCCAAAAAGGTCTTATGATCTGATATTTCTCCATCGTTAATGCGTATTAATTTCGTAAATCCTATGAATTTAGAGACCATACGATTCTACGATGTAAAGGAAACCTATATTTACACCCAACAAATATACTCTATATACAGTATTATTTGAGCTTTTAAAATCAAAACAGATGAACTTATAAAAATTAAGAGAGGAAAAGAAACACAATTAACAATTAACAATCTGATGTAAGGAAAAGCCAAAAAGGTCTTATGATCTGATATGTCCTTATTTTCTATGAAATGAATTTAGGGACAATCCGATGTAACAAACCAAAATAATAGAAGTATCTACCATTTTCCTTTTTTTATGAAATATAAAAAAAAAATTAACTCAGTTTCCACTTAAATATCCCAATAAAAAATGTAATATTGATTATGTGTCAAAGTGAATTATTAAGCAACACAACACAAACACATACACATGGAAAGAACAAAGAAAGATAACTGCTAAAGCACAAAAAGACTGCTTTACAACACTACATATTGTGGGCAAAGCATTAAATTGTAAGGAAGATACAGCAAAATCTTCTTCCTCCTCATGATATAAAAAAAAGGAATAAATATAATGGAATTAAATAAAATCCAGCTTATCAAGAATAAACACAAGACCAACAGGATAAAAAACAAAGATTTCTAAAATAAAGTGAGACAAGAAGAAATGATTTCAATACTCAATGTTGGAAAAGTGATAGTGTCCCTACACAAGCATCTTGTGGTTGGAGGAGACATGGCCCAGTAGCACAATCAGCACTCAAAGATTCCTGAAATTGGATAAGCTCTTATGGGTCCCAAATCCTCTCAAATCTCACTTGAAAAGAAGAAAAAGCCACTTTGTTAAACAAATCTTGTTAGTCTCCGATTATAAAATTCTCAAGCTATATATAAGACCAATTTGAATTCCCCAAAACAATAAGAAGCAATAACAAAACAAAGCAGAGAAAAACAGAGAGAGTAAGACTTGGATTCCAAGCTTTTTTAAAGAGTGGAAAAAGATGTCTACATTTGAATTACCTTCTTCAGCTCAAGCCATTCAAGAACAACTCCTTGGCGGTTTTGTCTCAAGAAAGCTGCTTCTACACAACCCATTTGACCAAAAAATCCACCGAGCCCTTGAGATCGCACCAACTCCTCTCATAAACCATGACAACAACCTCAGTGGAAATGTCCTGATGCTTCTTTCAGTCCTCATCTGTGGCGTCATCTGCTGCATCGGATTACATTACATCATTCGTTGTGCATTCAGACGCTCGTCAAGTTTCATGATCTCCGAGCCTATCTCTAGTCTTTCAACACCAAGAGGTTCACCAAACAAAGGAATCGCAAAGAAAGCTCTTGGGATGTTCCCGGTCGTGAGTTACTCACCTGAGATGAACCTCACGGGGCTTGGTGAAGAGTGTGTCATCTGTTTGTCAGATTTTGTTTCCGGTGAGAAGCTCAGGCTGCTCCCTAAGTGCAACCATGGGTTCCATGTTCACTGCATTGACAAGTGGCTTCAACAACATTTGACTTGTCCTAAATGCAGACACTGTCTTGCTGAGACATGCCAAAAGATCTTAGGTGACTCCAGTCAAGTAACAGCAACACCAACAGAGAGTGTGATTGTCAGAATTACTCCTCTACAACCTGAAGGAAGAGTAAACAATTTTAGAGAAAGCAGCTAGATGCTCAGAAACCATCACAAATTCAAGAATCTGTGCTCAAGTTAGATAGTAGATTTTAGATCTGAGCACAATTCATGTCTATAGTCATAGAAGAGTTACAAAAGAAACAGAAAAACAAAAAAACGGGATACACTTCAATTTTTTTTTATGTCTTTCTTTTTATGCATGTAGCACAAAGTGTATACAGAGAGAATATTTCTCAGTTTTAAGAAAGCATATCCGTGAGTTCATCAAACTTCTCTTTGTGAAAGTATATTTTTTTCAGTGAAATGTGAATTATGCTATCTTATCCAAAAACATTTAAGAATCATCTATAACCAAAAAAGACTGATAAGTACTAGTCATATATTCTTATGCATCAGTCACTGGACAGAACAAATGGTTTCCAGGTAATGAAATTGAATTCTTGATAGTGACAAACACATGACATGAAGGTCGTGAAAACAAATGCCATCTATCCACTTCACTCGACCCACTTAAAACACTAACCTATATGCCTCAAAACACATGAGTCTTCGTCTCAATGATAAAGAAATCAACTATACCTTACGAAAGTGATATGGACCCAACCCATAACAGAGCAAACCAACAAACCTAAGCTTATGGGTAAAAAGTCAGACCTAAAAGCTAGTTTGGTCTTGTAAGATATCAAGCTATACCAAACTTGGTCTTGTAAATTTCTCGATCACCGGTCAAGTGAATCTTACAAGACCATATGTATGCCACAACACAATACCCTATTACAAATGTAAATATATACCAACCCGGTCGAGAGAATCCATCTCCATATACACACCAAAATCTAAAAGTGAGGCAAGATGAGTGAGAAATCCTAAAGTTTAAACCTTCTAAATATTTTCATCACAAGCATCTCTCCCACTCTGACGGATGATGGTTAATACTATGACGGTTAATACTAATTATTACATCTTAATAAATTAGTACTCAAGATTATGTCAGATTGTGGTGAATCTTCTGCCTAGATACTATACAACAGGCACACAGAAAAGATAAGATGGAGTGATAAACTTAATATACGACTTGATATATTAGTTTTTTTTATAGATTCATCATATATCAAACTCGAAATCCTGATAGCTAAGTGATTAAAAACTAGCTAAACAAGCTGGAATCCACAAAACATTGTAAGAAAACTACTAATAACTAGTATTGGTTACATGTTCTAAAAACGAGATTTACTACGAGATCATGCAGTATAATAGGGATTAGTGAGCAACATGTCATAAACAAGGTTATCAAAACAAAAGACATATCATAAAAGAAATTATGGTTCAAATAATTAGGCCTAGGATCCTAGGCCTTTCTGATTGGATTGGATGTAAATAAAGCATTAAAAAGTTCAATAAAATAAGCAATTATCGACTAAAAAGTGGGAGTTTAATAGTAATTGAGGCTGTGCACATATAAGAAAGGTTATTGGTTAATCACAGAAGACTGTCGTTTACAATAAGCGTCTGAGGGATATCAAATCACATCATATCTTCAAATATGCCACTGATGAGTGTGTGAAAACTAAAACCAAATAGTTTACAAATCCAAATAAAAACGAATTACTAAATGATTATAAAGAAACATTAAAGATGTTCAAATCTCCGGGTACCATTCAATTGAAAAAGTTAAATAAATGTTAATTCCCATTGCAATTACTATAATGTTCTTTTGTTGGGGAGGATAATTATCTTATTATTAACAGCGTTAAAAGTAAAAGCAAATCATGTAAGGACAAAATCACTAGAGGAAAATGGTAGCCTTATAAGATAAAGTTTTAAATCTTCTTTGTATTTAATATTCAACTTTGGACAAGTGAGAGTGTCCCTACACAGGCATCTTGTGGCTGGAGGAGCTATGTGTAAACGGTATAATCAGCACTCAAGGATTCATGAAATATATGGATAAACTCTTTTTGGGTCCCAAATCCTCTCAAATCTCACTAGAATATTAGCCACTTTCTTAAACAAATCTTATTAGTCTCCAATTATACAAGTTCTCAGTCCCCACTCAGTAATCTATATATAAGACCACTTTGAAATCCCCAAAACAATAAGAATCAATAAAAAACAAAGCCAAGCAAAACAGAGAGAAGAGATCCAAAGCTTTTGTAAAGACTAAAAAATGTCTGCAAATGAGTTACCTTCTTCAGCTCAAGCCTTCCAAGAACAACTCTTTGTCTCTAGAAAGCTACTTCTGCACAACCCATTTGACCACAACACTCAACGAGCCCTTGATATTGCACCGTCTCCTCTCATAACACATCAGAACAACCTCAGTGGGAATGTCCTGATGCTTCTCTCAGTCCTCATCTGTGGGATCATATGCTGCATCGGGTTACACTACATCATTCGTTGTACATTCAAACGCTCAAGTTTTATGATCTCAGAGCCTATCTCTAGTCTTTCAAACAGTTCATCAAACAAAGGAATCTCAAAGAAAGCTCTAAGGATGTTTCCGGTGGTGAGTTACTCACCTGAGATGAACCTGACGGGGCTTGGAGAAGAGTGCGTCATCTGTTTGTCAGATTTTGTTTCCGGTGAGAAGCTCAGGCTACTCCCTAAGTGCAACCACGGGTTCCATGTTCATTGCATTGACAAATGGCTTCAACAACATCAAACTTGTCCTAAATGCAGAAACTGTCTGGTTGAGACATGCCAAAAGATCTTAGGTGACCCCAGTCAAGTGATGGAAACACCAACAGAGAATGTAATTGTCATGATTGCTCCTCTAGAACCTGAAGGAAGAGTAAACACTTTTAGAGAAAGCAGCTAGATCCTAAGAAACCATTATTAATTCAAGATTTGTGCCTAAAGTTAGATAGGAGATTTTAGATCTGAGCACAATTCATGTCTATACTCTATTTTTTTCTATGTCTTTATTTTTGGCATGTAGCACAAAGTGTATACAGAGAGAACATTCAGTAAAATTTCCACAAGAGTTCATCAAAATTTTCTTTGCAAAGTGGAATGTGAATTATGCAATTTTTTTTATCCAAAACAAAAACTAACAAATAAAAAAGATAAGAATCACTTTTAAGCAAAGTTTGATACATATATTCGTATGTGTTACAATCACTGGACAGAAGAAATGGTCTCCCAGTCAGAGAGAACATATCTCACTTTTCAGTAAAATTTGACAGAGTTCATCAAAATTCTCTTTGCAAAGTGGAATGTGAATTATGCAATTTTTTTAATCCAAAACAAAAACTTACAAATAAAAAAGATGAGAATCACTTTTAAACAAAGATTGATACATATATTCGTATGTGTCACAATCACTGGACAGAAGAAATGGTCTCCCGGTCATATATATGTCAAGGTCATTGCGTGAAGAGCAGTGTTTAGTCTACGCGACGCAATTAGAGTCCAGACCTGATGGCTTATATGTTTGATTGATAGTGACAAATCCATTAAGTTCATTTATCTACTTGGCCCGGCCCACTTAAAACACTACCTATAGACCCTTCACATATTACACTATCGAAAATTGTAGAGTTGATTTTGTAACTACCATCCTGGTCAAAAGAAACCATCCCCATAAGTTATACAATCTTCAGAAGTATCTTAACAAATAATAAAGGTAAGAAATCTTGATAACTGAACCAGTAAAATAAAAGACTAAGACTAGCGATTAAGATCTACTCAGTGCTATCTCATAGTATATAAACAGAAGAAAAAACCAAAAGTGATTTACTCAAAAAAAAGGTAAAATAAGTAAGAAATCTTGAGAAGTATTTTAACAAACAATAAAGGTAAGAAATCATGAGAAGTATCTTAACAAACAATAAATGTAAGAAATCTTGATAACTGAACCAAGAAAAGTCTGAGGCTAACAATTAAGATCTACTCAATGCTATCTCATATAATGTAAACAGAAGAAAAAACTAAAATTTTGGCATACTTTGTAAAAACTACAAAATAAGGCTAAAGACCCTAGGCCTACTTTGTAAAAACTGATTTAGTTAACGACCACATGTTCTAACTACGAGATTTTAGAGATACTACAGGAGCAACATGTCATAAACAAGATTATCAAAACATAACAAAATATTGTCATAAAGAAATGATGGTTCAAATAAGGCTTAAGATCCTAGGCGTTACTGATTAGATGGGATGTAAATAAAGTATTGAAAAGTTTATTGAGTAAAAATAGAGTTTAATGGTAATTGAGGTTATTCATAAAAAAAGAAAGGTTACTGGTTAATCATAAAAGACTGGTTTACAGGTAGTAATTGTCCATTAAGCATCTGAGAGACATCAGATGGTATCAGATTAGAAGATATTCTGATAAGTGAATGACTTCTTTATTTATAGACCGACAAAGTCGGTCTTCTGGAGATACCTTCTCCTGTTGAAATAGGAAAACTTCCTTCTTGATAAGGCCGACCTTGGATTTTTTCCGGAACTTGATCAGATAAATAGAAGATTTCCATTTATCTTGCCGACCTAAATATTCCTTAGGGTTTTGGAATGGGCCTATCTCAATTGATGTTGGGATTTGAGGAGGTACGAAATCCATCTCTAACAGTTATCCCCCCCCCCCCCCCCCCCCCCCCCCCCCCCAGTTCGGCAAGCGAATGAGTATTAAGCTTGGTGAATTAGAAGAGACAGTTCAGCATAAATTGAGATCGGACCATTCCAAGAGTTAGAAAAAATGAAGCATCACTCCTCTAAGCTTTTTAGGTCGGCCATTGATGGCGTATAGTTTTCGAGATTGGTGCGTATAGTGAAGTTTACCGAGCTGAAGTGAAGTATAACGAGCTAAGGAACTCGGCTTGATATATACTCGCATGCAAGACTATGTTCGGCTCAATCTATAATATGATTGCAAGGTGTGCTCGGCTTTTGTTAGAGTCGAATACGAACGTGCGATGTGATATCACTTCAAATTGTTTCGTATGACTTAATATTTCTAAGTCTGAATGTTAACCAGCGAGATGAGGTCGGCTTTATTTGTTTACATGACTTAGAAATTTTCCAAAGTCGAATGCAAGGTGCGATTAGGTCGGCTTATTAGTTTTGCATGACTTAGGAGTGCGGAACAGGTTCCAGCTTAAAAGAAGTGAGAATACAAACGTGCAAGAGGCTCGGCTTACATTTGTTTGTACCACTTAATTTCTAAGTGTGAATACTAATATGCGAATCAGGTCGGCGTTTTTCTATTAGTAGCACTTAGAAATATCCAGATCGAATATAAAGTACGAGACTGGCTCGGCTTACTACTATTATAAGACTTGGACTTTGCGAAATAGATCGGCTTATATGCAGGTTAACTGCAGCGTTTGTACGCGTGCAAGACGGATCTTGGCTTTAAGTGTGCCGAGCTAAGTGGATCAGACTTAGCTATAGGCGTATCGAACGTTTAGCCAGAACGTCGATGTGTAGACAGTTGGTAGATGACGAGCTGATGGTAGTGTGACTTGTTGAACAGTGTCAATAGGTCGGCTTGAATTGCGATCAGATGTTAGATCGGCTTTATTTTCAACAATGTGAGGTCGGCCTGGATTGCGGTCAGATGTTAGATCGGCATTATTTGCGACCGTGTGAGATCGGCTTGGATTGCGGTCAGATGTTATATCGGCTTTATTTGCGACCATGTGAGATCGGCTTGGAAAAGTAAAGTAATTGTTGCTGATAACAGATGAGCTGATAGGCAGATCTGATAATGAATGAACTGATAGACCGACCTGATAATGGATGAGCTGATAGGCCGACCTGATAACGGATGAGCTGATAGGCCGATCTGATAATGAATGAGCTGATAGGTCGACCTGATAATAGAAGAGCTGATAGGCTGATCTGATAGGCCAATCTGATAATGGATGAGCTGGTAGGCCGACCTGATAATAGAAGAGCTGATAGGCTGATCTGATAGGCCGATCTGATAATGGATGAGCTGGTAGGCCGATCTGATAATGAATGAGCTGGTAGGCCGACCTGATAATAGAAGAGCTGATATTGAAGACCGACGACCTCATATGTGAAATCGACGACCTGGCGAGCTGGGAAGCTGAGGTTGATGAACGACGACCTGACGACCTCAAATGTGAGATCGACGACCTGACGAGCTGTGAAGCTGAGGTTGAAGAACGACGACCTCTGATGTGAGATCGACGACCTGGCGAGCTGTGAAGCTGAGATTGAAGACCGATGACCTCAGATATGAGATCGGCGACCTGACGACCTGATAATGGATGTGAGATCGACAACCTGACGAGCTGTAAAGCTAAGATTAAAGACTGATGACCTCAAAATGTGAGATAACGACCTGACGAGCTGTGAAGCTGAGATTGAAGACAGATGACCTCAGCTGTGAGATCGACGACCTGACGACCTCAGATGTGAGATAGACGACCTGATTAGCTATGAATCTGAGATTGAAGACCGACGACCTCAGATGTGAGATCGACGACCTGACGAGCTGCTTAAACTAACAGATTGTTTAAGCAGACGAGCTGTTGGGAGAGCTCGTCTAAGGAGAGCTGAGCACGGGCGAATCAAAGAAGACGACCTGAAGGGATCTGAAAACCATGGTCTAATTTAAAGATGGCAGTCTGAAGCAAGTTGACGATCCCGTTCTGATTGCAAGATGCAGAGTCCGATCTGGCTCCTAGATGGAGACCTCGATCTGAAGCGAGCGTTTTCAAGTAGACGAGCTGAAGCGAATGTCTTCAAAAAAAGATGAGCTTAAACGAATGTCTTGAAGGAGACAAACTGAAGTCAATGTATTTTTAGAGACGAGCTACGAGGGCGATGAGCTGCGAGGGCAACGAGCTGCAAGGGCAACGAGCTGTGATGAGGACGGGCTGCGAGGGCGATGAGCTGCGAGGGCAACGCGCTGCAATGAGGACGGGCTGCGAGGGCGACGAGCTGCTGTGTTGTCTTCGGTGAGACCGGTGGTATTATGATCGATGGATGGTGTTTCGATCATCTTTGAGCTCTGGTTCTTTTAAAGATTTAATCTCTTATTCCTCACAGACGGCGCCAACTGTGAAAACTAAAATTCGATCTATGAAAAGAACTCAAGAGTTTGTGGGCTTAAAGAGAGATCTTTATTAAGTTTAAGCCGGAGCTCAAGAGATACACGGTCGTTTAGGTCGTCGGAATAAGAACGCCGATCTAAACTGTTTATGGACATAAAATCAAGAACTAGAAACAATAAGATCACCTAGTTTGCCTTAGGTCTCGAGAGAGGATTTTTGGATGTTTATTAAGAAACAGCTGAACCTTGAGAAAGGCTGCCTACGTATCCTTTTGAAGTAATCAAGCCAATCGTAGTTCATAATAAGAGAGTTAGATAGATGAAATCTAGAGAGAATAAGGTCTTCTCCAAGTGTGGAGATTCTTGGATGATTAGAAGATATTATGAGAAGTGAATGACTTCTTTATTTATAGTCCGACAGGGTCGATCTTCTAGAGATACCTTTTCCTATTGAAATAGGAAAACTTCATTCTTGATTAGGCCGACTTTGAATTTTTTCCGAAACTTGATCAGATAAATAGAAGATTTCTATTTATCTTACCGACCTAAATATTCTTTAGGGTTTTGGAATGGGTTTATCTCAATTGACGTAGAGATTTGAGGAGGTACGAAATCCATTTCTAATAATAACAATAGTATATATAAAATTGTTCGACTTTCTCGATGATTGAGGTTGTCTAACTAATCACAATGAAAACACTAGACGTTCGTATGTTCTTCTACTTGAAAAAGTTAAAGAAATACGAATTCCTACTGCAATTATTATCATGTTCTTTTCATCGGGAACAACTATCTATTATTTGCAGCGTAAAAGTAAACAGTATGTAAATACAGAAGCACTATAATGTTTTAAAACACTATCGTAGTGCTTTAAGAAAATTTCGACCACTTGTTTAGGCTAAAGACCTCAATCAATAAGATAGATTCACGTATAAGCTTTTTGTAATATTATAAACATATTTCAGAACTTTGCTAATATAATATAATGGAGAAATTTTGTCGGCATACCGCGTTATAAAGCAAAAGAGCTGCACACAATAGGCTGTGCCAAAATGAAGTTCTCTACGTCGTTAGGACCAAAGGTAGAAAATTATTAGTAAGAATTATGAACAAGCAGATATTTACGTTAAAGCTCACCGAAAGACTAAAAAGATATTATCAAGAACACTGAGAATAATCAAGACAAAAACAAGATATTTAGTAGGAACGATGAACAAATAGTTATTTACTCAAAAGTTCGTACCAGAATACTAACACTGAGAATTATCAAGACAAGAAAGATATTTAGTAAGAAAGATGTACAAATAGATATTTACTTAAAAGTTCACCAGAATACTAACACTGAGAATTATCAAAACATGAAAGATATTTAGTAAGAACGATGAAAAATAGATATTTACTTAAAAGTTTACCAGAATACTAACACTGAGAATGATCAAGGCAAGAAAGATATTTAGTTGGGACAATGAACAAATAGATATTTACTTAAAGTTCGCCAAAAAACTAACACTGAGAATTGGCATTGACGAGTAAATAATTAAAAATAGGTTCCACCAAAGATAGTCGTAGATTGAAAATCAATAATGGAACATAGGTAATTATGAGACAGGCATAAAGCTTTGATTATAATGTTCCTTAAACTTTTTCACAGAAAGGCCCTTAACCACATTGGATCCAAAACATTTCCAATCATAAATGCATCTAGCAAAACTTTTACTTGAATATTCCACGTTATTTCACCCCAACATGCGTGATTTCACCTCGATATGGTTGGTAACATTTCACTTATCAACAATCAACACAAGACAAACATGATAAAAAATATTTTTTTATTTATTTTAAAGTGAGACAAAAAAAAAAGATTTCAAATTTCAGTGTTGAAAAATTGATTATGTGGTTGGAGAGGAGGTATTGGAAAAAAATGCACAATGAGCACTGAAGGATTCATGAGACTAGATAAGCTCTTTCTGGGTCCCAAGTCCTCTCAAATCTCACTTAAAAAAAAAAACTAAAAAGAAGAAAAAGCCACTTTCATAAAAAGAAAAACTATTAGTTTCCAGTCATAAAATTATCAGTCCCCACTCAGTAATCAGGAAGCATCTCAAGCTATATATATAAGACCACTTTGAATTCCCTAAAACAATAAGAATCAATAACAAAGCAAAGCCAAGCAAAAGAGAGAGAAGAGACTTCTTTTTTAAAGAATAAAAAATGTCAGCAAATGAATTACCTTCTTCAGCTCAAGCCTTCCAAGAACAAATCCTTGGCGGTTTTGTCTCTAGAAAGCTACTTCTGCACAACCCATTTGACCACAACACACAACGAGCCATTGCGGTTGCACCATCTCCTTTCATAACTCATCAGCACAACCTCAGTGGGAATGTCTTGATGCTCCTCTCAGTTCTCATCTGTGGGGTCATCTGCTGCCTCGGGTTACACTACATCATTCGCTGTACAATCAGACGTTCTTCAAGTCTTCTGATCTCCGAGCCTATCTCAAGTCTTCCAACACCACGAGGTTCACAAAACAAAGGAATCAAGAAGAAAGTTCTTAGGATGTTCCCGGTCGTGAGTTACTCACCTGAGATGAACCTGACAGGGCTTGGAGAAGAGTGTGTCATCTGTTTGTCAGATTTTTCTTCCGGTGAAAAGCTCAGGCTGCTCCCTAAGTGCAACCACGGGTTCCATGTTCGTTGCATCGACAAGTGGCTTCAACAACATTTGACTTGTCCCAAATGCAGACACTGTCTAGTTGAGACATGTCAAAAGATCTTAGGTGACTCCAGTCAAGTGATGGAAACACGAACAGAGAGTGTAATTGTCATGATTGCTCCTCTAGAACCTGAAGGAAGAGTAAACACTTTTAGAGAAAGCAGCTAGATAGGTTACTTCAATTTTTTTATGTCTTTCTTTTTTTTAACCTGTAGCACAAAGTGTATACAGAGAGAATATTTCTCACTTGTCAATAGCATCTCACTTAGTTACATCAAACTTCTCTTTGCAAAGTTATTTTACTACGGTAAATGTAAATTACGCCTTCTTATGTAATTAAACCAAAAAGCTACCAAGTTAAATTAATATAACAATAATACAAATTTCTCTCCTGAAGATGATATCTCAGCATTTTAGAGCTTTCTAAAGATGACACATCTGCAAAAATATTTACTAATCAAAACATTTTATTAATACAAATTTACACATCATCTACTAACTTTATTATTTTTAACTTAAACCCATAAAAAACCTAAATATTTTTCTTTGTTAATCTCTGTTTTATTATTTGCCAAACCCAAGTCCAAATAATAAATAACAACAAATAAAAAAATTATTTTTTACCATCCTTAAATTCAAATAATAAATAACAACATATAAAAAATTAAATATTTGTTTTATATTTTTGCCAAAGCGAAACTCAAATAATAAATAACAGTAAAAAAAAAATTAAAATTTCTAACTATGTGTTTGCTTGATAGAGATGTATATGATTAAAGAAAGTGTAGACTCGTCATCAACTATGCTTCTATAACAACAACTCAAAAAGTATTATATTATAAGAAGCTCACACATCAACAAAAATTTGAACCAATAAAAACATAACAATAATACATATCATTAACACACTAATAAAATCAGTTTATATTTATGCTGACCCATTAAAAAGCCTAAATTTTACAAAAAAAATGGAAGTCGAAAGCAAATGAGGAGAAGCTCATACCACCACAGCTTGGAGATTCGCATTTTCGGTGGTTACCGAGAACAAATTTTCTTGGGTTTGACGGGAATAGAGAATTTTTTGGTTTCGGTAGGAAAATGTGATTTTCAGTTTTGGTAGGAAAACATAATTTCTCGGTTATGGTGGAAACAAGGCGAAAAATGTGAATTTTGGGTTTTGGTGAGTTTTTTTTTTTATTTTGACTCGAAAACAAAATATCTTAGTTTTGATGAGAAAATGCGAGAAAAATGCAACTTTTCAACTTTAATGAAAAAATATGATTTCTCGGTTTTGATAGGAAATACAAATTTTCGGCTTTTGATGAATAATGTGATTTTTTTTCGCTGAAAATTGTAATTTGACAATTTTAGTAGAAAATGCAATTTTTCGGTTTGATGGGAAAACACAATTTCTCGATTTTGGTGAGAATAAGCAATTTTTCGGTTTTGATGGGAAATGCAAATTTTCAGTTTTTGACATATAATGTGATTTTTTGGTTTTCGTAAGAAACGCAATTTCTCAGGAGATAATGCAATTTTTAGTTTTAGCAGGAAATTTTAGTTTATCAGTTTTGGTTGGAAGGCGTGATTCTTGGTTTGACGAGAAAACTAATTTTTCTTTTGTTTTGGAAAGAATAGACGATTTTTCGGTTTTTGAAAAAAAAAAATTTCGGTTTTGACGGGAAAATATAATTTTTTTTGGTTTTGCACGAAGATGAAATTTTTATGTTTTGGTGAAGAAACTTGATTTCTCTGTTTTGGCGGGAAACCATAGGTTCTCGCGGAAAAATGTGATTTTTTTTGTTTTTGGGGGAAAAAAGGTAATTTTTTTGTTTTGGTGAGAAAATGAAATTTCAGATTTGATGAGAAAATAAATTTTTTGGTTTTGCCGGAAATAGGAGATTTTTTAGCTTTGTGGGAAAATGAAATTTTTTTATTTTCTCGGAAATGCAATTCCTCAGTTTTTGTAAAAAAATAAAATTTATCTGTGCTAAATTTTCAAGTTACAATATGTTTACAATAACCAAAATTGAATTATTTAACTTCAACTAAATTGATATTTCAACAGTTCAAACAGAACTTTTATTTAGTTCTAAAGCAACAACAATGGTTTTGATATCACTGTTATTGATTATAGTTTGATAGTTTGAGAAACATATGTTTATAATAAATATTTGGTAAATAAAATTTATAATTTAAAATAATCAAATTAATAATATTTTTTTTGAAATGGCAATTTGTTGTTGACAAAAAAATGGTAATTTGCTTTATATAATTTTAAAAGAGGATCAAATGATAATTTAGTAGAAAAAAATTACATTTGGCATTAGCATGAAAGTACTTAAAAATGTATTATTTTATTCTTACATATACATTTATAGATAGTTAGCTAAACAAATTTGGTAGTAGATTATAATTTTGAAAAATAAAAAATTAAGGATATATAATGTTTATTCAGATTTAAAACATATAAATACATAACTTAAGCTAATACAAAATAAATATAATACTTATTTATATCATAAAAATAATTTTATTATATTAAAAATATATACAAAATCTAGAAAAATATAAATACCTAATATCTTTAATTACAACATTTAACCCGATTAATAACTGATTATTTTTAACAATATTGCTGTTACAACTTACAAAATGACATGTAATTATATATCTGCAACATAGGATTAGCAACAATTAGTTATTTCTTATTCATGACAATGAAGTTGTTTTGATGACCATAAAAAGTAAATCACAGAGATGAATGTATTACCCAAAGAAAAAGAAGCAAGAAACAGACTGAAACTTCAAAAAAAAAATAAACGGTTTCTAAAATTAGGTTACTATTACCTTGACTATATATCATCATCTAAACCAATCCAACATTCTCATCCAAACATCCTCTTCGCAATAAAGAGACTTTTTTAATACTCACTTAATTATTATCGATGGTTGCAGCTTTGTTCACGATGATGTTTTCGGCACATATCTCACATGCAAATAACAAAGAAATGTGTGTCAAACACTGTGTCCCAAACCAGTGTTTGAAAGAGATAAAAAATGCAACTCCTAAGATGTGCGAGGAAGCTTGCAAAAATCTTTGCAGTAAACAACAATCTGGTCACGAAAAGTACATCGTTCCTCGGGGTACAAGTTGGTTTTGTGACACTTTCCCTAAAGCATGCGAATATTAATCTAAAATTATAAAAGCTTGCAATGCTTCGTTCTTTCTCTCTCTCTCTCTATATACACGTGTCTATTGTTCTCACATGATAAAATCATTTTACACCTGTAACAAATATGCATGTCAATCACTCATCAGTTATTATATTTTTATGTCTTATTTTTCTAGCTAAGAGCAAACTCATCGGTTACTTTTGAGTGTTAATTGATAAGAGCACCGTGTCCCTTCTCTGTGTATTACATAGTTTTTAACTGGTGACCATAAGAAATGGAAAGGAATATTAAATTCTTTATTATTCCTTAAAAATTACATTATTTAAAAGGAACTAGATAGCTGGCCCACATATAATGTGCAGGTATGAAAAATTTATAAAAAATTAATTATTAATAATATATATTATTAATAATAAATAAGTGATTGACCTGTTTTGATAATATATTTGTTAAAAAAATTTGTTTGTAAAAAAGTGTTTTAATAGATTTGAAAAATTGAGTCATAGTAAATAATAAAACATATACAAAAATTTAAAATATTTTTTAAAAAATTATAAAATAAAATAAAATAATTCTTCGTTATTTGTTATTTTCTACTTTTTATTTATATTTTTCATCTTTTTATATATTTTTCTGTCAGTTTATGTCCTATTTCTGGTTCTTAATTCTCACTATATAATTGAAATACATTCACATATAATATAAACTTTTCATCTTTACTTATAGTGAGACAAAATAAGATGATAATAAAAGTGAAGAAATTCTCCTTCTAAAATTTTGATGCCGCAAAATTTCACACAACAAACAACTGAACTTATAAATATTTTGCTAAAAACTTATTTAAAATAAGATTTCAAAATTTTCCATCAAAAAACAGATTTCACAAATTTCATGCCAAAAACATGAATAGGTAACTTTCACACCCAAAAAATTACGTCAAAAATATGATCTAAAAACACTTTATCAAAATTTTGATTTTGTGAATTTTTCGTCAAAAAGTGAATTCATAAAAAAAATTCACCAAAAACTTTACATTAAAAATGTGATTCTAAAAACTACAAATCAAAATTTTGATTTCATGAATTTCCTGCTATATAAGTGAAACCATAAATCTTCCGTCAAAAAACCTTATTTAAAAATATAATTTTAAAAAACTTTTTTGAAAATCTGATTTCAAAATTTTTTCGCCAAAAACATGAATTTGTAACTTTCCCACCAAAAATATTTATTTTAGAGTATTTTAATTTGATTTCGTGAGATATCAAAAAGTTTCTCGCTAAATAGGTTGTCACAAATTTTCTGCTAAATATTTGAAATGCGTAAATTTTTTTAGCAAAATTTTTGTGTCAAAATGTAATTTCAAATCTATTTAACAAAAAAATAATTTTTCCAAATACTTTCGTATACAATCGTATACAAGAGAATCAATCTACCTAATTACAGAATATATGCAATAATTATTCAATTATTATGTTTCCTAATCTATCACTCCCCCGCAGTCGTAGTGTGTGGTGGTTGAATGTTTAGACTGGATCGAAAGCTTGTAAAGAGAGAGGATGGAAGTCCTTTGGTGAAAATGTCTGCATATTGGTGTGCGGAAGGAGCATGAAGGACTCGGACATCACCAACAGCAACTCGTTCTCGTACGAAGTGGAGATCAATCTCAACATATTTAGTGCGTTGGTGTTGAACTGGATTTGTGGAGAGATAAACGGCATTGGCGGTGGAGATCGGACAGTGAAGTTCAAGAAGCAGGTTACGTAGCCAGGTTGTTTCAGCCAATGCATTTGCGACACCATGATACTCCACTTCTGCACTTGAAGGCGATACGGTGGGCTGTCTTTTTAAGGACCAGGATTCAAGATTGTTGCCGAGGAAAACGCAAGCCAGAAGTGGAGCGTCGTGTGGTGGTGCAGCCTGCCCAATCGGCATCAGTGTATGATGTGGTTGCAGTTGGAGACCGTGTGTGATGGTTCCTTTGATGTATCGGA